GCCGTGGCTCGTCGGGCTCCGGCGGCCGGTCCGCACCCCCGCCCCGCGATCCGGCCCCTGGGGCAGCAGGCTGGGCTCTTGCCCCCCCCCCCCCCCCCAGCGAGCCTTTAGAACAAATAAACAAACAAGCAAAAGGAGCCCGGGGGGGAAAGTGCATCTGTGTTTCGTCCCCTCCAAAAGCCTGCCTCAAGTCAGGCAGTCTGCGAGAAACCGCGATTAACGTCGCAAGCAGAGGTCGATGCCAGCTCGTCGACGAGGAAACTGAGGCACGAGGAAACTGAGGCACGAGGAACCCGTGATCCCTAGGAGAGCTCCAGCCCGTTTCCAGGAGGAAATGAAAGGGTACCGTCTTACCCAGCCCACCCTCCCTCTTAGCTGGGTACCCGGGCGAAGCCAGGGACGCAGGGCCGGCCGCAGTGATTTATACTTGCAAGTGAGTAATACCGTGTGAAATGATGGCCACTTACACTGGATACCTGCATGCTTGCAGTGAATTATGAAGCCGAGGGTCAGAGGCCACCCTTCTTTAATACCAGCAAACTGCAGGTATCCAGTATAACTGCACCTTTGAAGCATATTATTGCCGAGACAAAAATGTATTTCTTTCATTTATTGTTACAGCTGGTTTGCTGGTTAGAACACTATGTTGGACTCTACCTTTCACGGACAAAAGCTTTCTCCTCTTAAATTTCCTTTAAAATATGCAGTAGTAGTGTTGTTTAGGTTGGAGGGTGTTTAGAATTATATTTTGGGGGCAATGATGTGTCCTTTCCCTTTTGCTTAGGTTTAGTCCTTTTAAGTGTACTCACATGAAGTTAATAGTGCTGGCATTACACTGTGTTCATTTTTATGGAGGCAAATAAACGATAACATATTGCACTCCTCCCCAAAGAGCCATACCAAACAGCTCCGCTAGGAATTCATTTAATATTTTTTCTTGCTTATTCTTGCCTTAATCCTCCCATCTATAGAGCATGAACGTATAAAGTGAGAAAATGATCTCCTTCCAAAGAGTCTGGCTGCATCTGGGCCTGCAATGGAGCGTTCCCGGTGACCTTACCTTCTACATCTCCCAGTTTTATCAGGAGATACTCTGCTCTGGCTGCAGTCCTCCTTGCTTTTTCCATTTTCAGCAAATCCCTCAATTTTCTCACATTTCTTCCTTCTTGTCTTGATTTGGGGCTTGACTGATGCTATTACAGCCAGTGTAAGTATTAATTTCAGTGGTCCTTGGGGGAGGCCTGTACTCACACAACTGCTCTCTGAGGTCAAAATAGGAGGAAGGGCACAGTACATCTCTCCTTGTTGCCCTGTGTGGCAGTCCTCTGGAAAGCTCACACTTGTCCCACCATGCCCCTTTTATGTCAACTTCCCACACCTGTGTGGGTCTTAATGGTTGCCGTTTGATTTGGAGATTCTAGTGTTGTCAATGGACCAGAGCAGTCTCCCTCTCACCACCCCCACCCCCCCACTTCTTTTCCATGCATTATTAAGCAGCTTGGTGCACTGTACCACACCTTTGCAGTATCCATGAAGATGATGCTGTTGATCCTTTCTGTGAGGCAGGATAGTGTGCAAAGTTCTCCCTCTTTTCCCCTATCTGATATTAAGGACTTCCTTCCCATGTCCTCTGAGGGAGAGGAATCCACTACTTGCGGTCACTGTCTTTAAATGGGTAGTCCAACATTACTGAAAGCGTGCTTGGGTAAAAGCCTTTCACCTACCATTACACAAAAGGTAGTCACAGAAAAGATGCACAGTAACTTCTTACTCAAGGCATGGAAAAATATGTCTAGTAGGGCTTCCACTCCTTATAACATTTATGAGGATTTTTCTTTTAATTTTATTTGTATGATTGCATAAAAAGCTAATGATAGATGTATAAAGCATGCAACTGAGACAATTTTCAGTACTGCTTAGTATTAAAGACAGACTCCTTCCCTCTCATCAACAAGCCATAAGCCAAAACAGTTTCAGAAGATGTCCCATTTTCCAAATTTTCGGCTTTGGCAGGACAAAGGGAAAGGAACACAGCAGGAGATCAGATACTGCCTCTGCCAAGCATTAAGACATTACCAGTGGTTTTGGATAGTGGAAAATAAATATCACCATGTGTGACTTTCTGTAAGGGTAAATGACAGTGACACAGGCTTTGTTTACACTCCTCATCAATTTCTTAATTTCTTTTCCTTGAAAAGGTAGAAATAAAATGTTTTATCCACATTCATGCACCCATATTGTCAGGACGATGCGAAGAAAACCTCGATGTGAAGAAAACCTTGTTCTAGGCAGGTACTAAAAGTCGTGTGCATAAAAAGTTAGGGATATCTATCTGGTGGCAGGATGCAGGAAATTGACACTGAAATTGCCTGAGTGGAGTCCCGAAGATGCCTTAGTGTGTTTAATGTAAGTTGCTACAGAGACACGATGTCTTCAAGAAAGCCATTAATAATCAGGTAGTTGGGAGGAGAGTTACGCATCTGGAAGATGGTCAACCAATGCAAACAGGTCAGAGTCAAGGCCCTGCCCTGCATGCTGATTGGCATCATGGTTAGACATCCTCTCTGTAAGCCCTCAGTTTTCCTGTCAGATGTTTTCTTTCTAACTTGAATGGTAAGATGCCGGATTTGTTTGAAGTGTGCTCACATGCCAACCTGTTAGGGTTTTTTTTTTTTCTTTTTTCCTATTTGAGATCCTTTCCTGTATGATCTCCAGTGCCAAACTCCAATGCAGCCCCTGAGATCTGTAGATAAGCCAAAACCACAGGGTTTCTTGATGACTGGTTTAGAAGAGGAAAGAAAAGATGTTGTGGTGATACCTCGCTTTCCAAACTAGCTGTGGAAATACCTCCACCACCCCCACCCCCCCGGCATGTACTTGCTGCCTTTTATTTATCGTGTCTGGGAATGGCCGTAGGAATATCTGCTGCATAATAGTCTTCTCTCAGGACTAGCCAGAAACCTTTTCCCTGGGGCCCTGCAAATCTCATCCTCCAGCCACCTCTAATTGACGTGGCTGAGCGAGCAAATCCCCTCTGCAGTTGCGGCTTCACCCAACAAAGGAGTCGTTTTGCGACAGGCATTACATTGTTAAGGAAAGGCTTTAACCCTCCAGCCAAAAGGCTTTTTTTTTTTTTTGCCAATACGAGCAGGGTCCCCACTAGAGGGCTTTGTCCTGCAGCTGCTGCGGTGCCGGCAAAGGCTCTTCTTCCCTCCTGCCTTCCTGCCCCTGCGCTGCTGCTGCTCCTGCTGCTGGTCCTGCT